GGTGGTTTGGAACATGAATGGATGATTTTTTTCCATTCAGTTGGGAATTTCATCATCCCAACTGACGAAGTCATATTTTTTAGAGGGGTAGGTATACCACGCTGGGAATAATGGGATAATTATGGTGATATCATGGGGATATCATGGAGATTAATAACTTTGATTAATAACCATGAAATCATTAGGAATGGCATGGTGGTTTTCATTGTTTTGACATCCCAAATTGATGGATTTTTTCTCAACAGAAGTGACGTGGGAAAACGCCTGGAGAACGTCGGGATTTCACCAATGGAAAAGATGGGGAAAACGATGGGAGATCCTGGGGATGCGATAGATGACTAAGCGTTGTTTATTCAGGGGGCTTGACAAACCAAAAACAGGGATACCCTCTGGTAATTTAACATAGCTATTGAAAATGGTCATTTATAGTGGATTTACCCACTGAAAATGGTGATTTTCCATAGTTATGTTAGTTTACCAGAGGGTAGTACAAGCTAGGTGATGGGAATTTCATCAGCAATCAATGGGGATTTATAGGGAGTTTTAACCAACCAACATGGCAATAAACCAGCTAGAATATGGCGATATAAGGGGGATAATGATACAATGGGCTATACAACCAAAACATATGACGTATCTCCATTTACACAATTTGTCTGTGTGTGTGTGTCTGAAAGCATAGTATACTACCAAAATTGTGGACTAGATTTAGGAGTACCCTATTTTCAGACATACAGATATAAAGCCTTGGTGAATGTGACATCAATGGATTGTCTTTGGTGAAATTCTCTCCCAAATTGAGGACGCTGAGGCCAGCCAAATAGCGGGGTTCAGCATGGAAACTCAGGCAACCCAACCAACCCTGATTATGTCCCAAAGTTTTGGCCTTTTTTGGTTTCAAAAACAATTTTTATTCAAAGGAGCCTCCGGTAATCAAACATGGCTGGCTGGGAAATCCCCGAAGTAAATGGGCATTTCAAGGGGGAAACTCATCCAGAACTTGGAGATTTCCACCCAAAAAATGGTGCATCATTTCGTTGAAATGCGGGGGGCAGGCCCCACACCCTCTTGGAACCTCCTGGGGCTTTGATAAGCAGAATCCGGTGGAATCTCCCTAACCCAAGCTGTCAGGAACCCTATAGTAAACCACAAAAGAAATAAAACAAATCAGTTACCTCCAATCGTGTTGTTGTTTGATTTGTTTGAAGATCGTGCTGGAACTTCTATCGGAACTGTAGCTCCTGCTCACTTGACTATTTCGTTTGATTCCTCAATAAGAATCGAATCGATTATTCAATTGAGGATGGTTACCCTCTGGTGAACTAACATAGCAATGGAAAATCACCATTTTTCATGGGAAAGTCCACTATAAATGGCCATTTTCCATTGCTATGTTAGTTCACCAGAGGGTAAACCATCCTCAATATTTGGATTGTCACAATCGATGGGAACATCCACCAAACAACCATTCTGTTGAAGGTATTTTCCTATAGGTTTTTGACAGGTTATCACAATACCAATGATCAAAAGGGAATGTTTTCCTAGATTATATGAAAACATCCAACATGAATACCCAGCATTATCTAGTATATTGCCAACATGAATACCCAGGCATCCCTTTATGTTGGATTCTAATGGCTTGGAGTCCCTGTCACCTGTCAGGACTTACTTTTTGCGGATGAAGACGAGACGTGGCAGGAGAAAACGCATTTTTTTTTTCGACACTGGAGACGTGGGGAGCAACTTTGTCAGAAGATGTCAGAACTGCTGTAAAACTGAAAAGTTGCAAAGCCCAATAGTTTCCACTTTTCCACTTCTTTCCACTTTGCCATCTGATAGCTGTGCCCTCTCGGAGCTGATGGAATCGACGTTTTTCGCTATCTGAGTCGAGCCCACGGCGTGACATGCTGCTCCGAAACATAGAAGCGTCCCATTTGTAGCTGGAGAAAATCAAACTTTACTTCTCATTTGCCAATCATCCTTTGGGGTATTGATTAGACACCCACATATTAACAATTTATGAGTCCTTTTCTAACTGGTTGGTTGATCAATAGAAGGTTCTGTCTATTCAACAACGAATAGATAGATTCTAGTAATACTTCACCAAACCGGCCCCTCTATTTTTCCTAGAAGGACGATATTGTTATGGACCCGTTATTGTTTCGAAGCATTTCCAGTCCCTGCAAGGACAGCAACTCCAACCTCCGTGTGACGTTTCGGTTGCTTCCTGGGAACATCGGCTGCAGGAATTGGGATGTACATGTGACTTACTTAACATCAATTGGGGTGGACTAAAGTGACTTAAACATACTTAAACTGGGATCAATTGCGATTCAGTGACTTCAATTGATCAAACTGACTTACTGGTGCTTAGCAGGGAATGTGGGAATGATCCACAATAACTATCAATAATCATCCCAGCAACCCCCAGCAACCCATCCATTCCCTACTAAGCACCAGTAAGTTGATGAATGTTTTTTTTTCTCTGTGACTTCAAATTCGTGTGTATTCGCCGGCAACAAACATGTGGAACTTGACGGATCAAACACGTGGATGACCCAAGGCCCCAAGGCTGGATCCGCGATCCGCGCACGCATGGCGCATGGCAGAGTAGTCTATGAAGGAAAACCTCAAAAAACACCATGTCTGGAAAAAAGGGGTCAGGTCAGATGTCAGAATAGTTTAGATCCTTCACATTCTATCCTCCCATTCCAAGGTTTGAACTCTCCATGGTTTTTGTCAGGTCCGAATAGTCAGGTCCACGATCTAATATCTTGAAGTATCAAGACGTCCCTTCATTGAATGGCAATAAAATCCAGAGTTACCCTTTGGTAAACTAACATAGCTATGGAAAATCACCATTTTCAATGGGAAAATCCACTATAAATCACCATTTTCAATTGCTATGTAAAATTAACAGAGGGTATCCATAATTCCTTTCTCAAGTTTCCTCACATGATCTAGCGATGGCTGAGGAGCGGCTCGGTTGAGTACCCAGAGCAGGGCTTCTACCTGTTGGAACTGATTCCCAAGGTGCCGCCGGCGCAGGTCGTATGTCTAAATATTGAGAACATCAATGGAAAACCATGGGGAACATCTACAGGAAACCATGGGTTTTTGATGGTTTTTAGCCCTTTATTTATGGTAAGGGCTCCAGATTTGAACCAATGATTCTCCCGTAAAACGGCCTGGGGTGGGGTAGCAGTTTGTTGAAACGGCTCCGGTGAGAGATTGCTTCTCTGCTCTCTACATGCATCACAACAAAAAGTATGTTCTCAATGTATGAATGCATGATAATATATAATAATGCATATTATATATATATGATTATATATATATATATGTAAGTATATAGGCACATGCCTACGAGGGCAAACCGTACGTGTAGTTGCCCAAATCTTCATAAATCTTGATATGCATCTGATAGCATTGTGCCTTGTCTCGAGCCATTTTCTCAGAGGAAGTCATAGTCGCAGTAAGGTTCGCTTTCTACCCCCGGCCGGATATATATGTACTTCATCTGTATGTGAATGTATATATATATAATATAAGTGTGTATATGTATATATATATATATTAAATGATACATACATAGCAAACACACAATATGTACCCTCTGGTACTCTAACACGGCAATAGAACATCCCAGCTTTTGAGAAAAATCGGGATACGGGGGCCATGAGGCGCCTGGTAGCTGATGGCGACCAGCTTCTGCACAGTCGTCCCGCATAGATCAATGGCGTAGCGTCACTTCTGTTGGTTGAGTAGAAGCAAAGATCATTAGCACAGCATCACTCCTAGTGGCAAGTTCGAAGTAAAGATCATTGGTGTAGCAGACATCGAACGTTAGCACAGCTACCCCGACCCCCCGCCCCCAAACCCCAGCGACCATGGCACAGGAGAGACACGCCAGACGCAACAGACGCATTAATGAAGGCCACAGATCAAAGCCAGGACACCAAGAAACATCCACATCCAAACAACAACAACATCAACTCCTGTGCAACTTCCAGGTGTTACATGGAACAAGTGCGTGAGTCTACATACATCCAAACCAGGCACCTCTTTAAGCTGGCCACTGGGAGGCACCTTGTATCATCCTCATGATGATTACTAGTGTCTCTAGTGTCTTTAGTGTCTTTACTACTATTCTCATAACAAAACTCCCCATTAAAATGGTTGACATGAATTTAAAGAACATCTAACAATATAATATAATAATAACATTCCAAATGAATATGATCCCATCTAGCCATTAATTAAAATGGTTGACATGAATTGCTAATTAACAGCAGTAGAATTTACCCATGGCGCCGTGGCTTGATTCGTTGTTTTCCGACACCCATGGCTAGGGAAAGCCCCAAAAAACGCTTGGTTTTTTAAGGCCCACGAATCATGCTGTTTTGAACTTAGAAGACCATAGTGTACCCTCTGGTAATTTACCATAGCTATGGTCAATCACCATTTTTTATGGGAAAATCCACTATAAATGGCCATTTTCAATAGCTATGTTAAATTGCCAGAGGGTAGAAGACCATAGTGTAAAAAAACTACCATGGCTAGGTAATTAAACAAAATGTTGCCATGTTATGGTCGACTTAATCAAAAAAAAATGCTGATCAACTCAACTGGCAGTCTTATAGTTACTCCTATTCCCATTATAATCATGCTGTTGAGTTGATAATATCCCATTAACAGACCACTATATAGTTACTCTTATGACCATGCTGTCTTCATTGCTACACTTCCCATGATATCCCCATTGGGTGCAGTTCCACTTATCAGTGGATGAATATGGATGAATAATATAAGGGTGAATATAACATGCCAATTAGTGAACTAATTGGGTGAATATAATTAGGTTAGTATATCCCTTATTAGTGGGTTATAATGTTATAAGAATATAACCACAGTTTTTTTGGGGCCCCACATCCCAACCCCATGGGGGAGAACTCAGCATGTTTACACCGATTTTTTGCACCCAAAAAACCACCGAGGGGACATGTCTCCTAGTAGTTGTCATTATAGGTGTAACCCCAATATCATGAATTCTCATTTTATTGTTTCCATTAATTCCCATTCCCATTCAATCACAATGTCCGTTGATTGAAACGCCATGTTTCTATGGTATTACCACTGGGTAGTTCTTCAGCCACTACCTACGAGGCGCTGTCAGAGAGCTGCATGGCTCTGGCCTTGGGCGAAGTGGCACAATGCCACGCGGGCGCAAGCGAAGATGGGGGTGAAACGCCCCCGGAAGAGTTGGGAGAACCAGCCATGGTTAAAACCAATGGGTAAACATAGAAGGATTACCCTCTGGTAAACTACTGTAACATAGCTATTGAACATGGTCATTTATAGTTGATTTACCCATTGAAAATGGTAATTTTCCATAGTTATGTAAACGTTTACCAGAGGGTAACCATTGCTCGACATGGGGGTTTTAACCCATGCCGAAACTCCCTTGGATATGGCGACAAAATGTTTTTTTGGTACAATCAAAAATTGGCGAAAAACCATGGGGATTTAAGTCATTTGACCGATGAACAATGGAACTTGGGGATGCATGTGAGCTATTGAAAATGCCTTTGTTGATTTGGTGAAACGAGGAATGTACTACCTGGTTATTATAGGGAATTATTACAAGGCATGGGAATACTTTTCAACCAGTATAATGGGATGGGATAATGGCTCATATGGTGAAAACGGGATTTAACCATCAACACATTGTGAAACAATGGGATTTAACCATGGAAAAATTGGATTCGACCCAGTGAACAGTGGAAGAATTCTGCGTTTTTTCGGATCAAACAGATCCATAGTACTGTGGATAAAACACGTTTTTCTAGGGGTATAGTGGTGATATCATGGGGATATATCTGGGTCACCATATCTGGGATATATAACTGGTGATTATACATCTGGTGATATCAGATATTTCTGGTGATTATATATCTGATAATGCCAGGTATCTGGGATACAATGGTGATATTTTAGTGGTGATAACATGATATCTGGGTCTGTCTGAAGAGGGTATTATATAACTCCAGCCTATGGTGCATATAATAATTTGGACAATTATGATCAAGCATTGGATGGAATGGGGTACCCTCTGGTAATTTAA